TACCTAGTCCTAAGAGATATTAGCTGTGTTCCAATCCACATGAGAACCGTTGTACAACGGTAATTTTCAGTTTCCCAAGTTTTTATCCTAAAATGAATTGATCGACTGAAAATTACCGTTCTAGAACAGTTCTCTTGTCAGTTGGATCAGAGCTATTGGATATTGGCAGAACTGAAAGTGAGATCAGCTCAGGTGTAGGACCTCCTATAAACTTGAGTAAAACGAAAATGATGTCTTCAGAAAATGTCAGGATTTATCTAGATGCTGTGATGGAAAATCATGTTTACTTTGGGCAAAACATCAAGATTAACTCAAATAGTAGAAGAATCCAACTATCATGGGCGGAGATATTGGAACGCTAAGAACAGTTTTGAGAGAACCGAAAATTTCTCTAAACCTGGAGAGGAAACTATTTCACAAAAGGCAAAGGAAATACAGAATTAAGGCCATTGAAAGGATCATATAGCAGAAATGACGATATCAGATGAAGAACTAAGGTGGATGATGTTATAGCTTGTACAGCTAAATTTGGAATTGGGCTGGACAAGACAATAATACCAGATGGACGAAACATAAGTTGAATTGGAAACCTTCAAGTGTCAGAAGATGTAAGTCCACAATGACACTGGTACGAAGATGAGACAAGACAACTTGCCCAAAACAGGGAAAATTGGGACAAGTTTGCTGAACATATTGAAAAATGCCAAAAATCAATTATCAGGATTATCTCCATTTTGTAAAAACGAGGGGGTAACCACTAGAATTTAGGAACTGCGGACAGATTTTCAAGGATTGCGGATAGATTTCAAGGATTGTAGGGGATTTCCATTGTGGTTTTTGAGAACTACAAAGGAAGATGGAAAAATGAAGAACAGGTCTCGGTAGCGGAGTTTGAAAATTTTCAAAGGTATAAATCGTTTTACAAGCACGAGCCTCCAAACAGTTTTACCTTGAACGAGAGTTCAAGAGTTATACATCCATATTCCATATCCATATAAACATTATACAGCTAAATTTGGAGTTGGGCTGGACACGGTAATCTGTCAAGACAATAATACCAGATGGACAAAACATAAGTTGGATTGGAAAACACCACGTGTCGGAGGTCTACAATGACGCTGGTAGGAAAATGGGACAACTTTCCCAAAACAGGGAAAAATGGGAGAAGCTATGGGTGGCCTATGTCTAGCAGCCAAGATAAGTTTGCTGAAGATATTAAAAAACCTCAAAAATCAATTAATAGGTGTGGACTTATCTCCATTTGGTAAAAACGAGGGGGTAACCACTAAAATTTAGGGACTGTAGGTAGATTTTTGAGGATTGCGGGGGATTTCCATTGTGGTTTTTGGGAAGTAAGAAGAAACATGGAAAAATGAAGATCAGGTCTCGGTAGCGGAGTTTAGAAATTTTCGAAGGTATAAATGGCTTCATAAGCACGAGCCAGATTTGCATTTTCATAGAGTGAAATGCTCTACAAATCTGTAGAAGATAAAATGAGTTTCCAAACAGTTTTACCTTGAACGAGAGTCATAGGTAGGTGTTTCATAAAATCAATTATCAGGTTTGGACTCATCCCCATTTGGTAAAAACGAGGGGGTAACCACTAGAATTTAGGGACTGCGGGTAGATTTTCGAGGATTGCGGATGGATTTCAAGAATTGCCGGAGATTTCCATTGTGGTTTTTGGGAAGTAAGAAGAAACATGGAAAAATGGAGAATAGGTTTCAATAGCGGAATTTAAAAATTTTCAAAAGTATAAGGTTTTACAAGCACGAGCCAGATTTACATTTTTATACAGTGAAATGCTCTACAAATCTATAGAAGATAGAATAAGTCTCCAAACAGTTTCACCTTGAACGAGATTCATAGGTAGGTATTCCATAAAATCAAGTATTAGGTATAGACTTATCGCCATTTGGTAAAAACGAAGGGGTAACCACTAGAATTTAGGGACCGCGGGTAGATTTTTAAGGATTGCGGGGGATTTCCATTGTGGTTTTTGGGAAGTAAGAAGAAACATGGAAAAATGAAGAACAAATCTCAGTAGCGGAGTTTAGAAATTTTCAAAGGTATAAATGGTTTTACAAGCACGAGCCAGATTTGCATTTTCATACCAGTGAAATGCTCTACAAATCTGTAGAAGATAGGATGAGTCTCCAAACAGTTTTATCTGGAATGAGAGTCATAGGTAGGTTTTCCATAAAATCAATTATTAGGTTTGGACTTATCTCTATTTGGTAAAAAGGAGGGGGTAACCACTAGAATTTAGGGACTGCGGGTAGATTTTCAAGGATTGCGTATAGTTCCAGGATTGCGGGGGATTTTCATTGTGGGTTTTGTGAAGGAAGAAGAAACATGGAAAAATTAAGAACAGGTCTCAGTAGCGGAGTTTAGAAATTTTCAAAGGTATAAATGGTTTTACAAGCACGAGCCAGATTTGCATTTTCATACAGTGAACAATCTGTGGAAGATAGAATGAGTCTCCAAACCATTTTACCTTGAATGAGAGTCATAGGTAGGTATTTCATAAAATCAATTATTAGATTTGGACTAATCTCCATTTGGTAAAAACGAGGGGGTAACCACTAGAATTGAGGGACTGCGGGTAGATTTTCGAGCATTGTGGATAGATTTCAAGGATTTCCGGAGATTTCCATTGTGGTTTTTGGGAAGTGAGAAGAAAAATGGAAAAATGAAGATCCAGGTCTCAGTAGAGGACTTTAGAAAATTTCAAAGGTATAAATGGTTTTACAAGCACGAGCCAGATTTGCATTTTCATACAGTGCAATGCTCTACAAACCTGTAGAAGATAGAATATCTCCAAACAGTTCTACCTTCAATGAGAGTCATAGGTAGGTAGGTATTCCATAAAATCAATTATCTGTCTGGACTTATCTCCATTTGGTAAAAAAGAGAGAGTAACCACTGGAATTTAGAATTTGCATGTAGATTTTCAAGGATTGCGGATAGATTTCAACATTGTGGTTTTTGTAGTTTTAAGGTGATTTTTGACATTCTCTCTTGATGTTTCAAGAGGAAAAGCTGTTTCAGGGCATAAAAATTGTATATTAAAAGCATGGCCATTAAATTGTATATCAAAAGCATGGCCAACAACCATAGTTTTCTGATTGTTTTCAACCAATGAAATTCGGTCTGACTGGTTTTTGATTTTTTTGAGAACAGACCTAATGTAGTTGAAAGACAATTTTATACTCATTTTGGACATTTTCTCCTCAAGATACTCCAAGAAAAGCACTTAGGGAAAATCGAAGAAAACATTTAGATCATTTTGGTTTAAGGGAATTTTGGACATGTATCCTTGATATTCCAAAAGAAGAAGCCAAAAAGAAGCAGTATTAAGGCAAATTTAGACCCTTTTGTGGTTTCTATTGAAATTTTGCACCAAAAATACGTGTCTATGTACTCAAAATAATGAAAATCTAAAAGGTTTGGATACTTTCTAGGTATAGGAGGTGAGCTAAATGTCCGGAAAAAGACAAAACTTGGTTTGGTGTTGTTAATTATTGTTACTGAATTGGAATAATTGGCAACGCCGAAACGAGAAGCCGTCTTTCTTCCGTGCATTTAAACTCTGCTCTCTCTTAAAACCTAATTGAAGAATTTATAATTTCTTATTGCGGTGGGATTGCAAAGATTGCGGCCAAAGGTTTATGAATTGCGGCAGGATTTTGTGACAAGATTGCGGAGTATAACACCCTTCGGCTAAAAACTTAAGCCAAAATAACCCACTGTTCAATTCATCTCAATGCCACTAACCAAATATCAAAAGGGATTAGAAAATAATACAAAATACATCAATAGTTTCCGATTATATAAATCTCAACTCTCTAAAAATGTATAAAAAGCTTTCAGCCTTCAGACTGCTGGTCATATTTTACCTACAAATTAAACAAAAACCTTTCTGATTAGTTCTTCCTAGAATCGTACCTCCTAAATAGTACCATATCGAACCCAGGGGGGACTGAAAATATCTCTCTTGTTTTGTCAAAAACGTGCAAACAAAACAGCTGTTTACATTACCGACTGATTGATAAGTTATTTCTCAGGTAGAAATTTTCGAGCCAAAGGACAGTGAGCGTTTGTACCTTTACACCTGGGCAGGATTAACGATTTTGAACAAAAGCTTCGGAAGACCCCGGTGTATTTTTTCATTAATAAATCCCTTTTGTGTTTATTTCGGTTTCCAGAGAGAATTAGCGACCTGGTGCGGAATCGGAGTGACATTTTTGAATTATATTTGTACTAAAGCCGAGGGAGATACACTCAATTAAAAACGCTTTGTCCTTGAGAAAAATATAGAACACCCTGTATAATTCAATTTTTTTTTGAATGAATTGACTTCTGCAATTTAATACCGGTGATACATTAAACTCACTTTGACAGTTGAATTATAATCCTTGGGAGGGTGTGCCATATATCGCCCAATTATCGATTCAACAACAACGCGACAGGAGAGAAAAAAAGGAACAAAACACAAGAGGTAAGGAAAGAGAGACAGAGAAAAAAAAAACAACAACAATGACCAATACGAAATGTAATTTTAATAACACAGGACATGCATATGAGCGAAGTCCATTGTGTTTTATGTTAATTGCAAAAAAGTTATTTATTGCCCTGGCCGATCGGCAGTAAAATACATTGCCAATAATAAAAGACGCGATCCATAACTAATAATGGAGAGAGTTTTGGCAAAAACAATACAATAACGTTATTTATTTTAGCTTCCAGTGTTAATAATTACTAGAAAAACATCTAAATAAGTTACTACACGCCTCCCTAAAATCATCACACGCAGAGGGAACAGGGTTATGAATATAAGACACCCTGCATGTGCCTGACCAGACAACTTATCTAATAATTAAATTTAATCAATATGCAAAGATTTTAATAACCAAATCAATTACCTATACACTCTCACTCACTTTTGGCAATAATTCCTATTAATCAAAATATATACTGAAAACATAAAGTAAACTTACCATTAGCTCCAAACATCGCATGATGAACGTACTGGTTCTGGACCCCAAAGTTGGAATTGTTCCCCAACGCGTACAACTGCTGAAACAAACTTTCAGCAGTCTCCTCTTGTTCTGGACCTTTGGTGTTCGGCACTTGCATGCCGGCCATCTGAAGCAGCTGAAGATGCGTATTATTGTTCAATTGATTTTGTTGCTGATTGGCGGACTGTTGCATATTCGAAGTGGAATCGGCATTGATACCGCCGGCAGAACAGCTAGGAAGTTGTGGTACTTGAAACTCGTTCCCTTCTTGACCCTCTTTGCCCCCTTGAGCTTCCAGGTGCATGCGCACGTTGGCAATATGGCCTCTGGTGAAGATGTGATCTTGTACTGAATATTTGTGCGAATATTTAAAGTTGCAATATTTGCAGTCTTCTGGAAGGATAGGGTTGTCACCCTCTGGCTGGCCTAATACTTTTTGTAAAGCTAACTTGCCCTTCTTTTCTTTCGCTCTTGCGTTTTGGAACCAAACTTGAATTACTCGCTTAGGAAGTCCAATTTCTCTACCCAGAGCCTCACATTCGGCCATGGTAGGCGTTTTGTAGTCGGTAAATAGGATTTTCATGATTTTGACTTGAACTGAACTCATTTGGGTTCGAAATCTTTTGGCTCCTCCAGAATGGTTATGTTGTCTGTGGGTATTACTTTGAGTACTGCTTGCTGGGGATGTAGGGTTGCTTTCATCATCATAAAATTCATTAGTTTCTGACATCGAATCACTACGTTCGTCACATAATGAGCGTTCACTGAGATCAGTCAATGGGCCTGGATCGCAAAGATTTCCATGCTCCATGGAAACTTTCATGGGCCTAGAAAGGTCAACTGGCTTAGATAAATCTAAAGGGATTTCACCACTTTCTCCCTTATCCGATTTAATTTCGCTTTTATCTCCATTGGTGGAGGAAGCATGATGTTGTAGTTCACTAATATATCGCTTCATGCTTTCTTCATAATATTTTTTTATTGAGTTTTCCATATCCGGGTGTAAATTAGGAAATAATGGAGGCATCAAACTAGGATTTTGTTGTTGAAATTTATTTTCACTTCCCCCTGATAAACTTGGAGCACTTTCCAAACTGACTTCCTCATCTGGCAAAGCGTCAATATTGATTTCACCACGAGCACATTGATCAGCATGCTTTGTAGTTAGATGAGATTCAAGAGCGCTCTTCACTTTGAAAAGTGCTGGGCAAAAAGGGCACCGTTTATTGATCACTTGAGCGTGAGCTCGAAACTGGCCTTTCCGTTCTCTAGCTCTGGTATTTTGAAACCAGACCTGGACAACGCGTTTTTTAAGTCCTACTTCTCTAGCAATATTTTCCAGCATTTTTCTTGATGGATTACTTTCGATTTGGTATTTTTGGTATAAATAATCCAACTGTTCTGGTAATATGGTTGTTCTAAGTCTTTTGTCTTTGGGTTGGTCCGAGGCATCGCTTTCCACGTCACCGAACTCCTCAATTTTTCTTTTTTGTCCACCAGTAACATTATTAAGCATGTTAATCAGTGGATGTGGCACATTTTGAGCTGCTGCTGGTAATGGATTATTTTGTTTGGAGACTTCTCCAAGGTTAGCATTCAGTTGCTGTAGCTGAGCGTGTTGCTGCAAAATTCCAAACGGACTATCCGGAGGATATGAAGGGAATAAATTTGGATTCATTAAATGAACCAGTTGGTGTTCTCTCCATAGTTCGAATCTGGGGAACACCAAGTTACATTTGTCACATTGAAAGGTGCCTTCCTTAGTTTCGGAAGGAGTTGGTGACGAACTCGGAAAATTTACTTGGCTAGGAGTAGGTGTGGTAGGCGCTGTCGGTTGAGTTGGACTCATGACTTGGCTGTTTGAGTTTTGATGAGAGGACATTGTTAAATTTTGAGGAGGTCCTTGCATTTGTTGTTGTTGCTGATTTTGTTCAGTTGTGCTAGAGTTGGAGTCTTCAGAACTTAGCACGGCAGCTATTTGAGCAGCTGCAGCTTGAGCTTGTGCGCTACGTTTGGCATCTTCTTCTTTAAAACAATGAGTCTTTTGATGTCTAATTAATTCGTAGTATCTTTGAAATACTAAAAGGCATTTTTTGCACTGGTAGTTCAAGCCGGGTGTTCTTTGAAATCTGTTTGCACCAGCTTCGTCAATTCCTGGTGCTGGTTCGGCTGCTGGTTGATTTTCGTAAACTTTTCTTGCTTTTTGTCTAGCGTTTTGGAACCACACAACTATTACTCGTGGGCTGAGATTTAAAAGTTTGGAAAGGTACTCTAAATCGTCGTCTTTAGGATAAGCGTTGTTTTCGAAAAATTCTTGCAAGACTTTAATTTGGTAGTCAGTAAATCTAGTTCTGTTTGCTCTTTTGCCAGTTGATCCCCCAGAACCTTGGCTGCTCGAGCAAAAATCTCTATTAGGGCTCAAGCATCTGTTTGGTGTTAATGGCAGCATCCCCTGAAGACTGTTGGGATTTGAAAAATTTTGTTGATTCATTTTTGGAGGCGGTAGCATCGAACTAGTAAGGCCGTGCGTCATACTTAACGTAGGTGTACTAGTGGTTAAAGTATCACCCAATTGTGAAGCAATAATTGATGTGAGACTAAGATTGTTTGGTGTTGTAGGTTGAGAGGAAACGTTGATACTCTCCGTAGAAGCTACTGATGTTGCTGGGCTCTGGGGCGGCTGCAAGTTTGGGGGAAGACTAAAAAAATTCTGATGTTTTTCTTCCATTAGGTCGTGATGTTGTTGTTTTTGGAGTTCAAATTTTGATGCCTGATGATGATGAAGATGCTCGTCAGGTAATTCTTCTTTTATTTCTTTTTTTATTTCAGGAATTATTTGCGGTAGAAGAGGGATTTGTACTGGAGAAACAGATTCTTTACTTTTGTTTGCTTCATCAGAACTGCTGCCAGTTGAACTATTCAGAGGCTTCGCCTCTCCAGTTTTTTCATATTCTTCTAAATTTAATGTCGTAGAAGGTGGGTTATTGAAATTGTAAGGACTATCTTTGTTGCGTTGTCTTTCTTTGAATAAAGTGTTACGGAACCAGTGTTTGATTACTTTAGGGGGCAAGCCGCTTTGATTGGCCATTTCGTGAATTTGGTCTTCGGATGGGGAATTGTTAATGTCGAAGTGAGCTCGAAGGATTTTTAGCTGTTCGTCTGTTATACGAGTGCGTGCACGTTTTTGATTAGCTGCAGCGTTGGCCACCTGAAATTAAAAAGGAATTTTGTTGTAGGTAGAAGGAATTAATTGCTTAGCAAAAAATTTATGTAATTATAAATCCCATTTGCTTTTATATACGTATCCTCAAGTAAAAGAATTCTTGATTAGTTTAATTGCTGTTTTGTAAAATGTAGCCTTGCATTGTGATAATTATCTTTAATTGATTTACGGCCAATTTGTAACAATTTATTAGGACAGTCCGCGTTAATCGTGTATGCCTATTAACAGAAGCGTATAAATCTTTGAAAATCTCACAAATCTGGTATAAAAAAAAACTGATTGTCGACTATTGAGAAATATTGAATGTAGGCTAGATGATCTTTTTTTTTTCTTTGAATCGTGACCCACGATAAATGAAACAGTTAACACTAAATATACCAAAATGGAAGTATCTTGTTCATTATAAAATGAAACAACAACCATTTTGGTCGATGATTCACGTGACCCTATTGTTATTCCGAAACGGTAACGATCCTGATGTGCTTTTGGTAATTTTGATGGCCTCCTTGTTTGCCAGATTTTGTCTATATCGATTTTTAAATATTCATTAAAAGTCCAACATGTAGTGAATATTGATTTTATTTCGTTATTGTTAATGGTCATCAGACTATAATGTGACAGTTGATTTTGGATTATTAATTAAACTGTTCGGGGCTTTATTGAATTTTAATGGCGCTTTTAATTTTGGGAATCGTGATGTAGTAAAAAAAAGGATGTAGTAAGTGTTAAGAACCAAGTATTGTATTAAATAGAGGTTTAGATGGTTAATAACCTTTAATAACCTTTTGAAATTTGAATGAAAAATTTGCAAGATTAATTTGAAATTAACACAACCCGTGGGTAATTATAAAGTATGTATCGCGGTGTTGTCCCGTTAAACAAGCGGTTGATGGCAAGAATGTGCGCTCCATGTAATCATTTACACTTGGCATTTGAAATATGCCCTGCTAACAAAGTAATGTTAGGCAATTACAAGGATTATATTTGTTACATATCTGTACCAGGTGTAGATTTATAATTATTGAACTTTTATTTTTACACAATGTTTTTAATGAGAAAGAGGGTGTTGTAAAATATCAGAGATAGTGTAGCCTGTATGCCCCTTGAAGGAGAAGATTTAGAAAGACAAAAAGAATGAGTTATGAAAGATTAATCTCATTTATCAGAATTATGTATTTATTTATTTTTTTAGAATTTTAAATTTTTTATTTTTTATAATATTTAGTTGGCTGGATTAGAAAGTTATTGGTAGGTATGTGTCTAGGACGGGCAGTATAAGTATATTACGGAGACGACTCTTGCATTTACGGCTCCACATTAGTAGGATAAACGTAGCTGCATAACATAAGGTGAGGGTGCAACAAATTAGCAACAAGCTGATTTCAACGGTAATGTTCAGTAACCGACCTCCTATTTAACCTCCCAAAAATCCCATTCAGTCCTAGGGGTGGAAGGTTGAAAAAAATGGCCGCCATCTTGGATTTTTTGTTTTTTTTTCAAATATCTCAGTTTCTATTAGTTTTTTCAAGAAAACTCAAGAAACCTTTTTTATGGAGAATTTAATTCTCTATAAAAAAGTGTCGGAACGTTATTTTGTAACTTGAAGGATAACGGAGATATAGTTTTTAGAATTTGATTTATACATTTTTCACTTTTGTTGAAGATGCAAAAAAGCGATCCACCAAAGTAAGTAGTGTATTCACTCCGTATAAATTGCAAGTTTTTATGGGTCTCTATTGGTCATATTATCCGCCAACCAATAGAATAATAAAACAATAAATTTATCTTGCAGATAGTTACCAGCAAGTTTATCTGAAGATGAATAAACCGGGCCTAAGCCAAATAAACATTCTGTATTAAATTTTATTCCTACCATAATCAATCCTGATATGAATCTACCTGTGAACAGGCCTGCTTCCAAAAGGAGGACAAAAATTAGCTTTTTGGCTAACCATGTGACATTTGTCGCAAGATTCTATGCAGAAATTGCTCTGGAGTAAGGAGCTCTGAGATCCGAGTTCTCATATTGAAAGAACGCTGCCTAAGATATTTTTGTCCAAGCTGTATGGACTGTTTCCAAGCACTGCCGGAGTTGAGCTCAAGACTTCACGAATTCGAAGCAGAGATGGAAAAGCTCAAAACCAACCAAAGAGTTGTGTTATCGAATCAGAATTGTGTGTTATTGAGAATGATGTAGCAAAATTAGATAGAGGGTTTTCTCCTATACCTGCCAATGGCCAGCTCACTATGGATGGCATTAAAAATGGAATGGGCTGGAAGGTACCTGCACTGCCATTCTGGATTCTAATAAGGAACTTGTTGCATTTATGTCCAAGTCCTATACACGCCTGGCAAGTAAACATCTTGCATATCAATTTTAATGCGATAGAATGAAATGTCTAAAGAAAGTCTAAGGTTAAATAGAGAAAACGATTTCCTCTGTTCCACCTCTAGCATTCCCAGTGCTTTTTGCTGGAGGTGGAACAGGGGAAATTGTTTTCGTTCTCTATTTAACCTTAGACTTTTTCTAAACATTTCGAAATGGATAAAAGTAAAGAATTGTTTGAAATATTTACTATAAAAAGCTCTGTATCTCCGTTATCCTTTATGTTACAAAAAAAAGGTATTTACACTTTTTATAGAGAATTAAATTCTCCACAAAAAAGGTTTCTTGAGTTTTCTTGAAAAAACTAATAGAAACTGAGAGATTTGAAAAAAACAACAAAATCCAAGATAGCGGCCATTTTTTTCAACCTTCCACCCCTAGGACTGAATGGGACTTTTGGGAGGTTAAATAAGAGGTCATTTACTAAACATTCCCGCTGGAATCAACTTGTTGCTAATTTGTTGCACCCTGACCCCCCCAGATTGACTCAGCAACATCTGTACCTGCAGCAAATAATGCAGGATTGTCAATTGCTCAACTTATTATAGATATAACAGCGTTCATTTCTGGCCGTGGTGTGTATCCCTGTTAGATGCAGGCTTTGCACGTATTGTTATGGGAGCTGTTGAATAGTGGCCTGAGGTACACCAAAAACGGTTTGGTCTGCGGATTTTTCTTCTGTTTTTCTTTTTTACAGGGGAATTTATAAATAAAAACCTATAAAAATTGGTTTATTAACGTGGTCATAGGACCCTAATTTTTTGTTACCATTGTGGCACTCTTAAACCATATATATTTCAAATCAAAAAATTCGACTCTTTCCAGCTATGAAGTCATAATATACATATAGTGTGATCCATAAGAAAAAACTGGCCATCTGTCAAAATTTGACATTTCTAAAAAACAAAAAAGTGTTTGACATCGGATTCAAAAATTTCAGGTAAAACCCCAAAACTTTGGTATTTATAATTTTTTGATATCTCTGCACATAACCCCTGTAGTGGGAAGGTCAATATATGGGGAAAGACCCTGTACAGGGTGGCCCATTTTCGATGTTTTAATGGGCTATATCAAAAACCAGCAGAGATATCAAAAATCTGGGAGCACATTCTCGACCTTTTTTTTTTGAGAAAATAACAATGGCGAAGACTGAAGACAAATCATGGCTAACTTGATGCGTTTAGGAAATATAGGGCACTTTTCAAATTTTGTCCAATTTTAAAGGACCTTCTAATTTTCTTATTATTCAATTGGATATGGCAAGCGGCTATCACCAGATACCAATGGAAAGGAAATCCACAGAAAAAAAAACCGCTTTTTTGACTCCAGATGGCCAGTACGAGGACCTTAGGATGCCATTTGGGTTGGTGAATGCACCTGCTGTTTTCCAAAGAACAATCAACCATGTATCCTGCTCTATGAGATTCTCTACGACGTTGGCGTACATGGACGATATTTTGGCGCCTTCTTCTACCGTGGCATCTAGATTAATAGCTCTGAGAGAGGTTTTTCAAACATTCCGAAATGCGGGTATTACGAAAAATACTTTCTATAGGCAGTTTTTCAAGTAGAATCCAGTGGCATGACCAAATTCTTTCCCAGATACCACCGATTTTGGAATATTCACCAAAGTTGTATTTTTTTTAGATTGGACACCCCGTATATTATTTTTTCATTGAATAGCTCTTTGGGAGCTGATTTAAATGATATAAGGTTTAATACCTTTACCTCCAATAGTATTGGAGAAAAATAAATAAATTCCGTTTTTGCATAAGAAACAATGAGTTAGAAAGATATAGTTGAACTATGAATCGGCTACAAATTTCTTAATTTTTAATTCAATATTTCAGTTCAGCTAATCGGGGGTGATAAATAAGCAACATATAATTTATTTAATGACTTATCTCTCTCTAGCTCATTGTTTCTTATGGAAAAGCGGAATTTTTATTTTTTCTCTAAAACTATTGAAGGTAAAGGTATTAAATCTTTTATCATTGAAATCAGCTCACAAAGAGCTATTCGATAAAAAAATAATATACGGGGTGTCCCATTTAAAAAACCATAACTTTGGTCAATATCCCAAAATCGGTGGCATCTGGAAAAAAATTGGTCATGCCACTGGATTCTACTTGAAAAACTGCCCACAGAAAGTGTTTTTCGTTTTTGGATATCTTGAATTATAAGGAAATTAGAAGGTCTTTTAAAATTGGACAAAATTTGAAAAGTGCCCTGTATTTGCTAAACGCATCAAGTTAGCTGTGATTAGTCTTCGCCATTGTTATTTTCTCGAAAAAAGAGCTCGAGAATTTGCTCCCAGATTTTGGATATCTCTGGTGGTTTTCGATATAGCCTATTAAAACATTGAAAATGGGCCACCCTGTACATTATAGTTATCCCTCCAGCGTGGCTTATGTCACTGATTTTTGAATGGAAATGGAAGTTTCATCGTCCTAAAAAAGCTAGAATTTATTTACATAAACATTTTTGGCAGATTTTCAGTAACTGTTGATTAGAAAATAGCAGTTAAGTATATACAGGGTGTCCAAGATAAGAATGTCTATCATGGGGATCTCGTAAACGGTAACAGATACGAGGGGCGGTTAACTGGTCAAAATTTGTGTACAAGTTGGTCAAAATCCCAGAAAATCTCATAAAATCTACTTAAAATCCCTAAAAATCTTTAAAATCCTTAGAAAATTAATAAAATCCCACAAAATCTCTCGAAATCGCATAAAATCCTATAAAATCTCACACAATTTTCTTGAAACTGGAAAAATCCTGTAAAATCTCATAAAATCATTAACATTCCTTAGAAATATTTCCTTTGAAATTCCCAAAAATCCATTGGAATTCCCAAAAATCTGGTAAAGTCTCTAAGAATTCCATAATTTACTGCAATTTTGAGGAATTTCTGTAAAATTATGTTATTCTAAAAAAGAAATTTCATGTAAAATTTTTGCGGAGTTTCCATAGAAATCACATTAAATTTTAGTTCCTCTCGAATTACATGAAATTTCAGTGGAATTTCGATCATATTACATGAAATCCTGAATGAGTTGCATGGAGGAATTCTAAACAATTACATGGAATTACACCGAAATTCCCAACATGAAATTTTAGTGCTCGTTAAATTACATAGAGAATTTGAAAAAAAAATCAAAAAATTACATGAATTCGTTGAATTATATGGAATTCCGATGCAATTGCATGGAATTCCAAGAAATTCTCGGGGAATTACATGAAATTTAAGGAGAATTTTGAACAACTCTTGTCGTTTCATATAGAATTCCAGTGAAATTCCAAAAAATCCCAATATAATGATGTGAAGTTTTATTTTTCACCGAGGAATTCCCCAGTTAAAAACATGGAATTTTAGTGAAATTCCGAAAAATTTCCATTGAATTACTGAATTTAAGTAAAATTCCAGAAAATTTCACAAATAAAATTCCGAGGAATTTCGGGTTAAAAACATGGAATTTCGGTGAAATTTGGAAAAATTCCCATGTAATGACATTAAATTTCAATATATTTCGGAGGAATTTTGGTAAATTTTCAAGAGATTACTTGAAGTTTCATTAATATTCTCAGGAATTCCTGATTACTGAAAAAATATTTCAGTGAAATTTCGAAAAATTCTTATGGAAATAAATGAAATTTTGAAATTGAAATTTTATTGGAATTTCGAGAAATTTTCGACTAATAACCTGGAATTTCAGTCAAATTTTTAAAAAATTCTCATAAAATTTTAGTGAAATTCTGAGGAATTTTTGAGAAACTACATGAAATGTCAGTGAAATTCCGAAATTTTTTTTGAAAATTTTGTGGAATTCCAGGATATTCAAGTAGTGAAGTTTCAGGGAATTTCAGTAAAAAAAAATTACGTACATAATTTGGAATTTCTATAGAATTTTGGAAGATTTCGAAAAAAATAAAAGATAATGAAATATTCGCAGAATATACATACAGAATATACATATATAGTTATTACAATTTCACTTTGTGTCAACTTACATAAAATTTCGATGAAATGTCGAGTAAAATTTCAAGAAATTCTCGTCGAATTACATGGAATTCCTTGAGATCTTATTGTGGAATTTTAGTGAAATTACATGGAATCCAAAGAATTCTCTTGGAATTAAACAGAATTTCCGTGGAATTCCCATGGAATCACCAGAAATTTCGGCAGAATTCTGAAAAATTGAATTAAATTTTAGTGAAATTCAGAGTAATTTTTGTCGAATTACATAAAATTTTAGTGGAATTTTGAGAAATTTCATGAAATCTTATACTGTAATTCCGAGGACTTTTTGTACCAGAATCCCATTGAATTTTATAGTGAAATTTCATGGAATCTTATGGTGAGATTCGGAAAAGTAGTTTGAAATCTTATAGTAAAATTTCTAGGACTTTCGGTTTTTCTATTCAAATTTATCATTTGAATTTAGAATCTCTATAAAATTTTCAAAAACCCTTAAAATGCTCCAGAATCACCTAATATTTTGAAAATCTAAAATCTTCTGAACTCCTGTAAAATCGTGTAAAGATTTTCAAAATCCTACAAAATCAATAAAGATTTAAAATATGTGTTCATCATTTTATGGGGTTAACTAAACCTCGGAGTGGTTGATTGGTCAAAATCTGTGTACAAGTTGGTCAAAATCCCAGAAAAACTCGTAAGATCTACTTTAAATCCTTGAAAACCTTGAGTCTTTAAAAATCCTTAAATCATTAATGTTCCTAAAAAAAAATTCCTTTAAAATTTCCAAAAATCTTTTGGAATCCCCAAAAATCCATTAAAATCTCTAAAAATCCTTTAGAATCTCTAATAACCCTTCTAACTTCCCTAAAATGCTCCAAAATCACTTAAAATCTTTGAAAATCCCGTAAAATCATGTGAAAATTTTCAAAATCCTCAAAATCCCACAAAATCAATAAATATATAAAATCTATGTACATATTTTGAGGAGTTAACCACCCCTCGAACAGATACGACAATGGTTAAATGGGAAAAAAGTTGTGTTATTTAATGATTAACAAATTGCATCCAACTTTGACAGATTTTCAGTAACTGTTGATTAGAAAATAGCTGTTAAGTATATACAGGGTGTCCAAGATAAGAATGTCTATCAGGGTGATCTCGTAAACGGTAACAAATACGACAATGGTTAAATGGGAAAAAAGTTGCGTTATTTAATGATTAACAAATTGCATCCAACAAATTTTAAAAACATTGACAACTTCTAGAGATATTCGAAAAAAAAAAAAAAAAAAAAAAAAGAAATTCGGGAAATTTCGGTTTTTCACGAATATCTTCGGAAGTTGTCAGAATTCTTAATATTTCTTGCATGCATATTGTTAGTCATTAAATAGCGAAACTTTTTTTCCCAATTCAGCATTTCTGTATCTATCACCGTTTATGATAGACATCCTTATCTTGGACGCCCTGTATACCGTTCGAAAGTTTTTTTTCACGCACAAAAAAGAATACAAGTTTTTAGCTACATATAACGGATAATTTCACATAATTATTGTTCGTAGAAATCGAAAGAAAAATCAACAATTTCAATAAATTTGCAAGTATTTCTGGTATTATGTACCTACCTAAATGATAATGTGTAATATACTGTTGGAAAGCGCGTTTTCACCTGAATATTATTCACTAATGATATAAGTTAATATCAAAATACAAACTCGAGTTATATAGGGAAATATAGAAAAATTGGGGGCCATATTGATTACGTCATCAACGCTGCTAGAAGGCCAGAAAAACTTATGTCCGGGCTTTTTAGACTCCATGTACTATCTGTACCCAAAGGAGCGCATTGATTTCCAGACCTGAAATATTCTGGTATAATTTTCACTATATTATTCTAAGAATAATTGTAACTTCTTCCTTTTTCCTAATTAAAAAGTTCTAATAGGGACAGGGACAATACATTTTTCGAAACGTTGCTTATAGGATTTAAAAAGTGGCGCTCCCTTCTTATCTTCCCTTTATTTTTAATTTTTAGAAGCTTAATCCATGTACATTTTCGGTCTCTTTTAAGGTCCCAAAACCCAAAAATTTAAAACTAAGATTCCTGGCCTAAATGTAACACAATACCTTGGATGCCACAAAGGCTTTCAAATAGGTACAATATCTGAAAAATGGAAAGAATACAGTATAGCTACAAATAAAAGACGCAGGTGTTTAAAGAATAACCGAGGGTAATTACTTTTCGAAATTTGTGTCCTTTTTGAGTTAAAACTACTACCTGGTTTAAAGGTTTTTACTGTAGGTTTAATCAAGAAAGTGCACAAATTTAGCCTAAATCCATCAACAAAAATATTTAAAATTGGCCCACCAAATTGAGAAGAAACAATTAAAATTCGGTCTTGGATTTTTTGAAAGTTCAGTGTTAATTTATATTGTGAAATCGGGTTATTGTTACATGTATTTAAATAAATTATTAACATTGTTTTGCAAATAGAACACGGTATTATTTTGTTACTTAGTATATCGAAACCGAATAATAGATTTTGAAATATCAATTTTTGAGTTATACTAGGTGTGAACTTATTTAAGTTTATTCATTACATTAGGCTTGATTTATTATTGATTGGAAATAAAAACAATATACCTACCTAATACATTCTTACTGTGAAAATAGTGTGTATTTTTATGTTAAATTTATTCAGAATTTAATTAAAATATTAAATATTACAAATAATGTTCTAGTATTAAAATGCAAATTAAATGGTGATATGGATATTAAGATTTCTTGAAATGCAGGTAATAACTTAATTAAAAGGTAAACAGACATAATTATTCATTAACTATTTTTTCTTATCCTTTTATGGTTTATTATAATACTGGGTATCAGGAATAACTTGAAGTACATGGGGGTTTTGGAAACCATTGAAGATACAGGGTGGTCCAAATGGGGAAAAAGTTGCGCAATCAAGTGCCTACAAATAATCTATCAACTTATTTGAACTCGGAATAATAACGGATATAAAGAACAAAGAAGAAAATAGTACGTTTCATAAAACCCTTAATATCTTCATTATTCAAAAATTTCAAAAAAGTTGACAGATTATTTGTAGGCACTTGATTGCGAAACTTTTTCCCCATTTGGTTCACCCTGTATTTTCAATGGTTTCTGAGATTCCCATGTACCGGTACTTCAAGTTAGTCTGGGCAGCCTGTATAGTGCCAGACGTTGTAGGCAAATATGACACATTTTACAAAACAGCAACAAAATAAAAACATCTTGATTCTTTGAAACTTTGCACGAAAATGTTTACGAATAAAACAGGGTATTGTAAAATTGTTGGAAAATACTAATCAAACCACAAACTCATAAAATAACCAATAATTATCATCCACTTACCGCTTGTTGTTGCATCATAGCAGCCTGCTGCTTAGCCATAATGGCTTGCTGCTCCTGTCCACCATACTGTCCCATAGGATCGTAAGGAGGTGGCGGCATCATCATAGGCACCAAAGGAGGTTGCAGGTTCATCGCGGCCAAAGCGTTCAACCCCAAAGGCAACCCCATCCCCATCATTTGCATTACCGGATTGAAATTGAGCTGCTGTAGTTGCATTACGTTTAGAGCCGCTTGCATTTCGGACATTTGCTGAGCTAACGCCATGGGGTTTTGGGCCATGGTTTGAGCTAGCATGGCTTGGATGTTAGCTGGAAGCGAATCCGTCGAGCTAGCTGGTGTGGTGCTACTAGTCGGGGTACTTGGAGCTGTTGAAGCTGCTTCTGGAGGTGTTGTGAGGTTAAGTTTGACGCGCAATGTTTCTTTGTTTTCGTCAGGTTCTTTTTCGGGAGTGGTGTTTTCGATTTCGGGAGTAACTCGATCACTTACTACGGTTGTTGGAGTAGTTACGCGCGGCGCGGCCGTAGTTGTGGAGCTTGTAGCCGCTGTAACCACTACGGTTTTCTTGTCAATTTCATTTTTCAATTGTTGTGCGTATTTTTCGAGATACTCTAAAGGAACCAAGTCTTTGTGCACTTCCTCACAATGGCTTTTAAGCACCCACACACTAGAAAACTCCTTATTACATGTTTGGCACGTGTATTTGCCCACTTCAGGTAAATTACCAGTCTCTTCTTCTTTGTCACTAGAAAGTTGTTTATCTAGGTTTTCTTCGCACTTTTCTTCTTGCACTTCAGCCACTTCACTAAGTTCTTGTTGCTGCTCTTGATGCATTATATCTTCTCTGAAAGATTCTTCTCTACTTTCTTTTAGTTTCAGTTCAGCTTCAGCTTTTTCTTTTTCCGCTTGTCTCTGACGTCTTTGATGGCTCTCGTTGTATTGCATCACTAAATCAAAACCGTAACCTTCTAACAAATGTTTGTAAATAGGCGAACCTTTTTTGCCGGACATTGCTCTAGATTGCGCGTCTTGTTCTGATTCTTGCCGGTCATCATTCGCACCCTGTAATACTGCCATAGGCGTCGCGAACAAGCAGTACAACTGGTGTGCGCTTAACTGATCTTGGGTTGTAAAAGAAGCGCCGCATTTGGGACAGTACATCCCTTGACTACCTGGCATACCTGATGGACTAGGTGGGGTGGGGCAGGGTCGTTTGCCGGATTCCCCACCACTCGGTGTCGGCGAGGGTTGTTTCGGAGACTGTATGACGTCGGGTTGCTCGATTAACGGTTTGGACAGGTCAATTTGACCGGTCATTGCCAAATCTTGCAGTTTACTGGCTCTGGTTTGGTGCAGCACGCTACGCATATGAATATCGAGGGTGCTCCCTTGCGTGTACGCCACTTTGCATATGTTGCATCTGTATTTTTTCTTATCGTCCTCGTCGCTGGCTGAACTTTTAGGGGTTAGTGACAAGTTTTGCGCTTGCGGAGTGTTTATAATGGGTGACACTGGTGAGTTGTTGTTATTGTTTGCTTGCTCTTGCATTGCCCTTTTTAATTTGTGTAAATGACTTACTGAATTGTAATGGACTAGCAATATATTTTTTTGTGTGAAGCTTTCTTTACAAACGTCGCATTTGTATGGCCGGTTTGGATCCAAATACTTTTCCATTGGATAAGTTAATTTTTCTCCTTTTCTATGTAAAAGCGTCTTGTTGTGGGCTGTCAGATAGCTTTGCCGAGTGAATGCCACACGACATCTATGACATTTGTATTTTCTATTAGGATCGTTATAGCTATCTTCGGCCATAGCTTGACTGTTAAGATAGTCTTCGAGAAATTGCTGGTCTTTATATACAATGCTGTCGTCTGAGTTTTCTCCATCATTTTGATTGCTATCATCGAGAGACTGTGTGCTGAGTTCTTTACTGTCATCGCATTCAGCTGCACCATCATTTTCCTCACTCCTCATGGTTTCTTTCTTCAACAACTCATTGGTGGAATTATCAAGAATTTGCCCTTGTAGTCCAGCTAAAAGCAAGGGATTATTCATTAGGCTTTGCTTATAAGCGTTCAATTCTTCGTCTGTTAACTCAGAATGAACACTTTCTACATGCTTATGGAGAGCTACTAGAGATCTAAAGCTTCGTCCACATAAAACGCATTTAGTCGCGTCCCTAATCATATGATATTGAGAATGTAGTTGTAGTTTTTCTAAGGTTTTGAAGGCTAGAGAGCATTGATTGCAACGATATTTATAAACATGTTTTTCGCTCACTGACATATTAGCAATTGAGTTTTTAGCATGGATTTCTTTAAAGTGCATTTGAAGTGTATGTGCAGTAGGAAAAAATTGATTACAACCTTTTTTCCAGCAAACATATCCAGGTCCACTGGGAGTTTGTTTAACTTCCAACTGATGCCCAGTTTCGTTTTGATGGTGGCAAAGTTCGTCAATATTTCTAAAAGTTTTAAAGCATGTATTGCATCTCTCACTTTCATTTTCGTTGATATCGTCACTCAAGGGAGATAAAAGATCAGGATTCTCATCATTATGGCTGCTATCACATTTTTCAAGCTTATTGGACTCTTTGGAAGACGCAGAACTGGGTGAAATTTGATTTTGAACGGCCGTCGAGGGATTGTTGGGCGTGGATGTCCTAGAACTCTGATTCAGCCAATGACTTTGATCAACGAGCATCAGCAGCCTTTGAAGCCCTTCACTGTTCACCGAATGAATTTGCATCACGTGTCTCTCGAGACTTGTGCGGTCTTTGAACAAATCTTGGCACAAGGGACAGTGAATCACTTGCTGTTCTTGTTGATGGCTGGGGTTGTGTTGGGCTAATACGTGAGCTTGAATACGCATTTCGCTATCACTAGAGTAATCACAATAAGGACACATGTGGGGACCCGGATTCGAGTCGAGATGATTTGGTTCGTCCATGTCGGTTGGTTCAGTTTTCACTTGATTTGTAGTTTCAAGTTGGGAAAGTTCGGAGTTGATGCTATCGCGTCTTTCTGCAAAAAAATTGAAAGAATTTTAGAAACATAAAATATTGGATTTATTTATAGGAAAAGGTGAGTAAAAATTGAAATATTTTTATTAAGAAACATTCAATGTAAGTAGAGCAGTTATATAATTTCTCCACGGTCATAGCCCGGTGATTATTGGTCCGATTTTCTTATCAATCAAAAGTGGTTCACCTCTACTAGATGAAGAAGTCCATGTACAACTTTTACATAAGTGTTACATAGAAACGTGAAACAGTTTTCTAATAAGTTCCTTATAGTTATGATTTGGCTACTTTGATTTATAAAGCCAACCTTTTCGTATAAAAAAAAAATAAATTCCTAAAATAATTTGGAAGTTTTCTATTGGATCATGCATACTACTATCTGAGAGCAACAAAAAAATTCACTCGAATCTAATCTGAGTCTCAATAAATTCCCTATTAACAACCAAAAGCCCGTTATTGAAAACAAATTCTAAATATTTTATGTAAATAAATGTTTAAATAACGTAATGTTGGTATACCAGTTTCAAGTTAAAGCAAATAATAATTTATGAACCGAGATTAGATCTTGAGCAAGGATTAAGCTGTCGGCAACTAGTCTTTAGAACGCGTTTTTAAACAGATTTTTCCTATAACGTTATTTAATTATTTGTTATCGATGAAAATATTATACATTTCAGTGGCGTGTACCTTTCAGGAAATAATAATTGATAAAACGCCCCCTAAAAATATAACAAAAGCCAAAAACCGAGACAATCTTCGAATCTTCCCTTTACAACCACTATTATCCATTTAAAATTTCCAAAAATTAGCACGTTGTATTCAAAAATACCCTAACTGTACCCCGACACTAATAACCATTTTTTTTGTTGAATATTCGTGACCGCCCCGGTGCCCTTTGGGCACCTTGTAGGCGCGCACCATTCAAAAGATACCATGTGCCTAATAATTCGAGATTATACACAGAAAAAATAACGAAAATTTATAATACGCGAGGATATAATGCAAGGGGCCTGTAATTAGGCCCTATACCTTTTTACCAAAAAAGGCGGTATGACACCCTTAGGGTTTTAAAATTCTATAGGGCCTATTGTTCTTTTTGTCAATTGCAAGACGAGCTGGATGGCAAACGGTGCCCCAATTGTATGATACTTCTAATCATGAGACTTTTTTGTGAAAACGATTCGTCGCTCCTTTTGTTAGAAGAGATTTTTGTTAAAAGCTATCATTTAGTTTAATTTTCCTGGACAAAATTAACGCAACACTTAATTGAATCCCAATAAATGCAATATTGAAATTTAGAGGTTTTTTAAATATTCTTGAAACTATAACCTCTACAACTCTACAGGATATTAGAAGCTATCAATTTACTAGGTGTATAGCCAAGGTTATTTGAAAGGTTTCCGGATAACTTTTATGATGTCATCTGGGGTGCCCAAGCATAATGCAAATCTCCATAAGGTCCTCCTGATGACGTCATCTGGTAACAGTTACCAGACAACCTATTAACTTTAGGAACCTTCAGCCAATTTAGAGCGATTGACCGATCGGTCATATTGACTGATAAACGATTAATTAAACGTCATGTGTCAACTAATTGGTCATAACTGACGTTAAATGCATTGCTAATCTGTCAAGATGACCCATAGGTTGATCGCTTGAAATTAGACGATTTCGCCACGTTTTGGTAACCCACTTTGGTTGGTCAAAAATTTACCAACCAATTTCGGCACGAAAAACAATGACGTCACGATAACTTTGGAATCTATTTTGGTATGTCAAATTGGTTACCGAGCTTGGAGCACGGTTATTTGAATTGGTAGCTTGCTATCTCTCTCTAATTTAGAGTAATTTAACCTCACTTTTTTGTTTATTTTTGAAATTATATGCAACAAATAAACACAATTCATTTTCACTATTCCCAATTTTAATTTCCAAAAATAAAAAGTATTCAGTATTTTGTTTATTTTTATTTTCTCAGGCATACCATCACCATCACGTCATACACGTGACATTTGACAACCCGGCGGATTTCGGCTGGAAGTGGTATGCGACGTCACTGTTGTGACGAAGAGCCTACCTAGCAGTTAACCAATTTACCTACCAACCAAAACGTGACGAAATCGTCTATTGACTTTGGTGTATAGCAAACTTATCAGGAATCAGGGGCGCATATACGTAGGGTGGGGGGGTAATGGGGGTAATTACCCTCCCCCCAGAAAACTAGAAAATTTTCAACCTACCCAAATTTTTAGTTTTTACACTGAAAAAATATAGAAAATATATTGCGAAAACAATTAAAATACTACTAACGGCAGTAAGTTTTTGTGCGATATGGCAGCAGCGCTTTTTTACTTTTGTCTTCCTCATCGACGCCGAATGTCTGTCACTCGGCGACGCGATACTTAGGGTCGGTTTCAATAGCGATTCACCTCTGGGTTGGTTTTAATTCCAGAGTAAACGTGTCTTAGGACCGATTTCTCAATAGCAAGTCACCTCCGGGTTAAGCATAACTCCAAGGTAAACAAAGCAACTGGACAAGCTCAACCTGGAGTTAGAATTAACTCGGTGGTGACTTGTTATTGAGAAACCGGCCCGAAGGGCCGAATTTATAGTTGCTTTTTTAGGTTTCCTCAGACCTCAAGGAGGCCTTGAACGTTTAGAAATGACATGACTAACTTGTCACATAGTAGCAAGTGTCCATTCTAAACTCACGACCTTTGAAGGTTCCTGAAAAATACTTTAAGCCATCCTAGCAACTTGAATCTTGAATTTGTAGATCTCATTGAGAACTACAAAAAAGCTTATTAGAGTTACCCCTCCATGGAGGACCGTTTTTGAGAAAATGGACTTCAAATCTTTCAATACATTTTCAGAGAAATTTCAAATTTGACGGCTTATATCTCGGAGACAGAAACAACCTGGAATATCAATATGAAACAAATTTGTAGGTAATTTAATGCTCTTTCAAAGAAACCGGATTCGAGATAATCGGTTCGAAATCACCAAAGTTATAAGCGAGAAAGTGGCGCCATGTCAGGTCCCCAAAATTTTCCAAGAGAAAAATCTTTTTTATTTTTTTGCGGGCTTAGGAAGCGTTGGGGCAAAAAACGCCTGGAGACATTTTCGACGTATTTTTTGCTCCTCTATATGATGGAAATTTTAATTTTTCAAAATTCGGAAAAGTAAATGCAGGGCGCGTATACCCCACTACACGCCCTTTTTCAAAATTGGGGGGATAGGGGCTGAAACCTTTCCGGTAAGTCGTAGAGGGTTGAAACTTGAAATTTCTACTTTTTCACACCCCTTTTACCTCCAAATTATGTCCGAATCGGCCCCAAAAATTTTTTTAGGGCCCCCCCAGGGGGCTTTGCTTTCTACATAGGGGCTTCTCGTATTTTTTTTTCGATAGAGTTCCTGTTCCACTATATACGTACCAAATTTCAGCTCGATCGGACCAGCGCTTCGGCCTCAGCGATTTATTGAAAATTAATTCGCCCCCATCGATGGGGGATCTGAAAACATCACCAAATCGGGCTGAAAGCCTTTGGGTCGTCATATTTAAGTCGCAGAGGGGATCCGTTCTCGAGATATTGCGTTTTTCATGTTTTTCCCTCCCTCCAAAATTTTTTCAAGGAAGATCTAAGGAACGACTATAAATTCGGCTGTTACCTACCCTACATCTAACAACTAGGGATGCCCATCATACTGAAAATATCGATGTTTCGGTGTCGATAAAACATCGAAAGCTGATATCGATTGGGTTTTTGTTTACCTCCCTCCCCAGACCTACACTCTGGATGCGCCACTATCAGCAATATCCATATTTTGAGAAATCCTTCAGATATTAATTGTTAGAGAAAACTGCAAAACATGAGTAAACTAAAAAAATGTCAGGAAACATTTTAGATTTTTGACTAGATTTTTCAGTCAAACTTAATGTTGACCCATTATGATACTACTGAAGAAAGCAATTTTGAAATTGCAGCTTGTAGCTTGCACATATTTGAAGCTTAAGTTCACTGAAAACAATCACAGCTTCAACTTTAGTGTATAACATCAGGCAAGGATACATAGTTTACCAATCACAAGTTTGTAGAGCCAAATTCATTAGGGGAAGGTATAATCTTCTAGCTTGAAACAGTTATGCATTCGACTTATGGAACCAAATTATTTCAACAGAGGAATAAGGTTCCTCAAAGAGTACAATGCATAGTCGAGGAGACCAAGCAACATTGTTGCAAGGACCACCTACACCAAAAGATTTTCTGATTTCTTAGAACTGTAGGGTAGGTCAAGATTGGGCAAGAAACCCACAGGGTCCTTATAGATGAACTCACTCGTCCTTTCGGCTGTTATCCAGAAATTGTTGGAATATATGAAAAATTAAAGGAATCTGTAATTTATTTATTTTTTGTAGAGGGCGCGAGTGAACTTGGAGTGCTTTGAATTTTCGCCGTAAATTTCAATAGTTTCCAACCGTTTTAATAAGTAGAAGGAATGATGAGTACATATGAACAATGAACAGTGAATAAGTTAAAATATCTTCCAAAACGTTCAGTGGCCCTTAAAGAATATTTTCAACAGTGTCTTGAAACCACACGTCAAACTTGACTTTTGAGGTTAAAATCACATTCGATTATTCACGCGCCAAAATTTAAAAACCTCCAAGTACAGAAGCGCCCTCTTCATTTCAACTATTAATATTACATGCCATTGTAATCTGACGCACTGTCTACTGTCATATTTTTTAAGGTTAAGTTAGTCGAATTAAAAACAATAGCCGCTTCCGGAAAGTGTGATCCGATTAATCGGTTCGATCGGATTAGTAATTTCATCGTTCGTAAAATGATCCGAAGTCGAGCACTCGCGTTCGGAAAGTGATCTTATTGACTCGGTTTTCTCATATGTTTGTGATCTTGTTAACCCTCCTCTTGATGTGGGTAGAAAATTAATTTATTAGCTGTTTGATGTTTTTGGTTATGTTGATTTTATATGTTTTGT